CCGGATATTACATCATCCCTTTAGCCGTTGGTGATTGTAGGTACATTTAGCCATAACTTAAAATAAAAAAGATGCTACGTTTTAAAACATTCGGTAGGCTTAATTTACCATGAATGTTTTGGGACTTGCGTACCCTCACAGGAGGACGGTATATCAAAGAGAAAGAGCGGATAACTGTTATTCAACTATCATATGATCCTGACCCGCCTAGGGGAGGCAACTCGGAGCTTGAGGCTTGTATGATTTAGAAACTTCAATTTACGTCTACCGATGCATATTACAAAGACAAATATAGTCCCTTTAGGCTCTGGTGGTTGTTTTTGTGTGTTTAGCAAATGAATGCAACATGATCTGAACCATTCTACAATAATATAGAAGCAATGTTGTAATCAATACCATTTGATGTACTGAAGATAGATCCAGAAGATGATATGTCATCTTATCAGTACGGTTTCGAAAAACTGTTAACAATAGACACTGTCTTGCTAAAAAATAAGAATTCGACCCGACGTCAGGAAAAAGAAGTTGTAGTGTACCTTCAAAGCAAATTACATTGGCATTGCATGTCAGCCAGTCCAAGAGCAAACCTCCTTCATGACCATCAACTCTTTGAAATCTGACGTTGTTGTGTATAGGGAATGTAAGTATTTTTTATTTATTATTATTTACTTTTTAAAGTAACATAATATAAAACACAGTTTTGTCTTCTGAAAAATATGTTATATGTCCATCGTATTGCGTGAAAGCAATAATTTGTCATAAAACAGGTATCCAGTGTAAACCGTTCGTTATTTTCATAAGCTTAGAAACAGTGTCTGTTCATTTGGTAAATAACAGTTGAGTACCTGTGCATGTCTACATACAGTTTGTCGATGAATAGGTTGCTCTAAGATTTGAAGTAAAAGAAAGACTAATAAAAACATTGTCTAATATTTTTCGATTTTGTAACAGGTAAAAGAGATTGATTACTTAGGAATCCGAAAGCGCAACTTTGCAACACATTTTCAAGGGTGGATAAATTGAAGTCTTCATTGTCGCACTGAGGAGTCCAGGGATCTAGCACATTTATAAATAGTACGTTTAGTTTAGTTGTGTCTATAACATTTTCATTTTTCTTTGCAAAATATGCCATTGTGTGATAAATGCACACGCAGCAATTTTGCAAAAGCTAAGCAATTCGAGGTTTTAACATAGACAGTGATTAAAGAAATGGGATCTGCCATGATGATATCCTTAAAAAAGAAGTACACATAAAAAATGAAACTGTTCATTATCAATGTCTGTCTGTCTATGGAATCCTAGAAGGGGCATTGTCACGTTGAAGACTGGTCGCCTTGTCGCCCTTTCATTTTCTAAAGCAACGAGGAAACATTTGTTTTTATTTGAAGATGAGCAAACTGCAAGCTCCAGCATTGCAGCTTACAATAGTAACTGGAGTATGAAAAGAATTGTTTCTATGTCTGTCTAAGCGTAGATCAATTCACGTACTACCCATGCGCGACATTAATAGAAATGCTCGACAGCCAACTATGCGACATTTATATATTAATCACCGTCGGGGTGTCGCGCACTTTAACCCATTTTTTACACATTTTAGATGGAGCGACAATGTGACATAGTTTAACCTTCAAAACTGCCGCGTTGCGTTGTAGCAATACCGCCCTTTGGTATAAAAAAATAATTTTTAAAGTGCGACAATGCGACAATGTGTTAAATAGCCAAAGTGTCGAGTTAACTTTGTTTAATTTTAACACTTTTGCTTGAAAGGCGTCCGCAGGTGAATGTCAATACGAGACGTCATGCTGTCAAATATGTTCCTTCCTTATCCTTTTCAAGGCATCTAGTTTCAATGAAAAGATCCTATGAATAACATCGCAATCTTGCTTAGGATATTCTTGGTATAATCATGCATATATAATAACATTTTGAAATTTATACTTTAGTTTCTTTCAGATTCAGATTGAGACCAGTCTTGGTAAAATGTAGATATGTATACCTCTGTGTCATGGAAGTAATGGCACTGTACGTTTAGCTCATACCCTAACCCGTGAAGATCCGTGAAGATCCGTGAAGAACTCACCATCCAGCATGCCCAAATGGCCTATAAATCATTAACGTCCTATAATGATATTTAATGGTCCCCATATTTAATCAGCCATCCCTTTGAGCAACTGGTAATAATAGCTTGTTATAATTAGAGTTTGTATAAGAGGCCCTTATAGCTATTGTTTTATTTTCACAGAATAAATAATTATAGATACAATCCTCATTTGAAGCTCATTTATCAAAAAGTATAGAAACTAACGAGAAATGACCTGTGGCTATTTGAACGATCGCCATACCTCGTATCTACAGTTTTAAATCACAAACTTTCAACGAAGACTTTCAAACGTTTTTATTAGTATTTCAACATACCGAAGTGACTGCCATAAAATTAAAATTAAATACGTATATTCGAGTAATAAAAATGGAAAAAATAATGATAAGCCGAAAAAAATCACAATGTGGGTTCGAATCTGGGATGGGGCTCAAAACATTAAGTGACGTAACTCGATCCACAATAGAAATTACTTCAACTTTCCAGTAGCCTCTACACTGAGAAACATCCCTGCAGCTACAGCCTTTCCTTACCCGTTAAGATCCGGGTTAGACAGACGAAATAGTTTATTTATGTGTCACGTGAATGTACATGTCAAAAATGGCAGTGGTAAAAGAACATAGGAAAATACAAACACCAGGCCAGATGGCCAATGAGACACACTAGACAATATGTGCATAAAATGTATAAAATATAAGATTAAAACATGAAGGAGTATCGCACATATGAAAGAACTCGGGGTAAAATAAGTTATTGGGATGATAGCTTACGCCGATACATACGGCTAACTGAAGCGGCCAGTGAATTAACAATATTTTCTGTTTGCAAGAAGAATGTAGCTGTTCAGTGTTTGATAACTGAGCAAAATTTGGGTGTAGGATACTAGATTTCAAATCCTACCGAAGAATAATAAGGACAGCTAACTCTAGGGGGTCCTAGACTACGACACAGAGGAGGTAGAGAAGAAACCTGCTCCCGAGCATCTGCCGTTATCAAGGACATAATATATCATCTATTTTTGATAAATACAGTAAACTACCTCCATACTCATCTATAGGTATCACTAATTTCAACCCGTGAAGATCCGGGTTAGAATTGGTCTTCAGCAACCCATGCATGTCTAAGAGGCGACTAACGGGATCGGATGGTCAGGCTTGCCGACTTTATTGACACATGGCATCGTATTCCACTTGCAATCGATGCTCATGCTGTCGATCACTGGATTGTCTGGTCCAGACTCTATTATTTACAGACCGCCGCCATGTAGCTGGAATATTGCTGAGTGCGGCGTTAAACAACCAACCAACCAGTCATACCGCACGTACACATAACCAACGGTATATCAGAAGTTTTCACAATATACCAGATTTCGATGTATTATGAACTGCTGTAAAGACCGCTCAGTGAGTGACAACATTGTTATTGTGGTAAACCTTCCTGATGAATGATTTTCAGGATTAAATATACAGGTAATTAGTAATACACATCCAATATGTAGTGCTATTCATAGAGCAAGCACATGCTCGTCGGTGTCCCGAACACCCGGTGTTATCAGTGGATTTCTCAGATCTATTCCTGGAATCTTCATCGCTAATTAATCTTTTACGAGACATGAGACACAAGCCAATCTAAAATGGTAGATCCCTCACACTGACGTGATGTATTTAGGGGGTGAAGTGCCTGGACTAAAAGTACCTTCAACAACAGTATTTGAATCATTCAGTTTAAGACACGTGAAAATCTGGGTTCGAACCAATGCTTGTCATAAGAGTGGATGAAGGGGATCTGCTTGACAAGCTTGTTGACTTTCTTCATTCATATCCCAATTGCGTGGGTCGATGCTGATGATGTCAAACACTGGTTTGTCTGATCCAGACTCGATCGATTACAGACCGTTATCATATAGCCGAGTGCTATTAGAATGTACATTGCAATAAAACATTACGTTTCCGCGAAAAATGTTCAAACACCCTCCCTAATACAACCGATTTAAATAAATACCTCGAATCATGTTATTACAACTATGAGCACGACGTAGTAGGTAGTGTGCAATCAACAGTGCGTTTAGAAAAGATTTGTAATGTCCATGGAAAAGGGGTTGCCGTTTGTCATATAGCGGTGGTAATCCCTTCACGTCTCGGCTGCCCGACAGTCCCAAGATTATTGTGACTGAGGGAGAGATTATTGTGACTGAGGGAGAGAGTGCTGAAGTCAGATCCAGTTTACGTCGTTTTAATCTGTCAGTTAATTTTCCGTCAGCTAGATGATTTTCAGTAGTGTGTTGATCTTCACTATAAGGACTGATAGTTGGGAATTCTAGCCAAGTTCAATCGTCAATATTGTGAATGTTCAGAATGCAAATTATGCAACGTCGGAATGCACAAGCAATTTAAGTTACACAAAGTGATGAACGGGTTTCAAATATTGTTCAGTTTATGATTTATAAATAGTGTTGAAAATTGAATATAGACATCCAGTGCCATACCAAAGGTGAACCAGATGCCACGTGAGACTAATATCAGTTATCATTCCTTTCTTGCGGTTTGTCAGTTTCAGTTTAATAATTATCACATCGGTTGCTAGATTGGTGTAAAACATGCATGAAGAAGTGGAATATAAGTACAACCTGTTCACATTAACTTTATAACTCACGAACTCATACAGCTCCTTCTCAACGAGTTCCACGGTCAAATACATATTACCCCGCGTGGTATACCTCATAGCAGATCTGAGATATGAGATGGTGAAATTTGGGATTAAACAGCTTCGAAATCTGATACAGATTGTAGTGCGCAGAGGATTTCAAATGTCTCTATACATAGGGATTTAATAAGTTTTCCAGAAAGTATTACGATAATTTCGATTGGCATTTATAAGCTCGTAGGGCGGGGACACACGACACCAAACGCGGGGAACAAATCTAGGCTTTATTATCGTCGGCATCACTGGCTAGCGTTCATTTCGTTTGAGCCTTTGGGGGAGACGGTAGCTTTGAAAGGGGAAGGAGGTAAGTACAGATCTGTTGTATGAATGTAGGTGCATAGTTCCTGACTTTATGTAGCAATTTCTTTAAAGATTTAATGTTAAGAAGGGTAGGTAGATGTGACTTGGATTATGTTGTGAATAACATGTACATTTCAAAGGGTGTGAGAATTTAATATTTCACACGTGGGTGAAATATCTCCACTCTGAATTATTCAATGGTATGTCATCAATTTCTGGCGATGTTGTCTTCAAATGTACATATGATGATGTCTTTGTGCCGTTTTACTTGTAACGATCGATAATGTGTTCAGATGAACCTCCAAAGAGGATTATGGTTTCAGTAAACGATCCTCAATTGGGATTCTTATTGATAATACCAATCAAATCTTTAAAGCCAAGGGCGAAACACCGAGAACAGTATTTTTATAAATGTGTCAAAAGGTTCACATTGTCTCCATCGTTGATGTAACGATTCGAACCCACAAACTCAGAGTCAGACACCTAATCGCAATCGTTGATGCTGACTAAATCGTTAATGCAGACATGACCTTGTAGACTATAGTAAATTTCTTTATCAACACCTGAATTAAAATGCAGGCAATATTTCAATCAATTTATGACAGGGCATTTTAGGACATCATCAATACGACAAACTGTCACCCGTACTCCATATCTTCACTTTGTCCGCAGACAGTCAGGCTTTCACATAGCGCATCACTTACAATACCACCCGTTTAGTAGTATGTATTAAGACAAATTACGATGTCGATCTTGGGCCGATCAACTAAATTGATCGGGTGGTCATTTTCGGTGACTTTCTTGATTGCATGTCAAATAATCTGAGTAGAATGTGGATTTGTCTTCTTCAGACAAGACAGTTGTCCCACCACCTTTATACGACTAGAGTATTCCCCAATTGTGTTGTATATATATTTGTTTCTTTAGTTGAGATACAGAATCATTGAAAACCGCCAACCATGATGCATTCATCATATTGATAACTAAAGCGACAACAGCATGTCCGTGACGTATGGACCAGATATTGAAAGCTACATCTATACCTTCAGTATCCTCGCCTTTATCAAACAACTTATGAATAAATCATGCGAAAACAATATTTGACATCTTGATTGATGTAACTCAAACGTGAAATGTAGCTACGAATGGCTGAAACTACTGGACAAGTGTTCAACATGAAGGAAACTTAACTCATTGAAAGTTGAAATCATCCCTCTGGTTATGGTCTTGTGGAGGGTGGTTTGTCACTCTGAATATTCATACGTCAGATCTTATGTGAGACAGAACCGGTCGTGTCAGTGCTCTGTTTATATTTCTAGCTCAAGTGGGTGAATCAGTGACCATGAATTTATTGTTTGAACATTATCGACAAAACGAAAACAGATCCCCACAGTGCCTTGAGTTTAAGTTAAAGGTTCTGGCCAACTTTACTTGTTAACCTGAGAAGAACTTCCTATTCACGGACAAACAGGAAACTGGCACATTAAGTACCTATGTAGATGTTATCCTAGAGGTTCCCACAGATGGAATCAGTGAGGACGCCCAGTTTTTCACATGTTGTTTTCTTAGTAAACCTCAGTTGGCTTTGCTTTCATTTTTGACAAAATAACCCGAATCTTTTATCTATATGTATGGTTTCCAATTTTTAGTAACTTTTGTCATGTGGTGTAGTGTTGATACAAACAATTTTGTTGAAAGTTTAATCATACAATGTTTTGGATTCCAGCAAACCCGTAGAGAGTTGTATCCATTGATTTATTTGTATTTTGTATTCCCCTGTCTTTTATAACTTCCTTGTTCTTATCAAAGATTATGGTTAATCTTTTAAACAGAGACTTTTGTCTAACTTGTGTAATGATTCTTATGGATTATTGGAATCCAGTTCAAAAGAGGAATGGATATGTCTTCATTAGGACAATGATAGCACTGATGCGCGGTTTGAGCTCGTTTCCTCCTCAGTTAACTCTTATATATATTACTTATACTGCCAGTAAGGTGTAGATGTGTCTTGTATAATATATATATAAGTAATTAATAGATATAGAGAATGATTTCTTGAATCTACACATCTTGTTGCTGTGAAATCCCATCTTGTGTCAAAATATCAGATGCAGAGAATTTAATGTCCATGTCAACCAATACCTATTCAATCTTTAACGACTTGGGAATATCCATTTACAAACATTACGTTCGTAAAATCCTAATTAAGTTCATAAAAACCTTAAAAGGCAGTTGAGAATGGTTAGTATGTGGAAAAATAATTAGTATTGAAACAAACACCCAGGGGTGGTCATGTTAGTGTTTCTCCCAAGGCACTGATTACAAACAATACACGAGCGTTTAATCATACGACTCAACACGAGTAGCGATTATTAGTGCTTGATACTCGAGACGCACATATCTACATTAATCTGTTCTTCAGGACATCTGATAAAATCAGAATAGTTCTTGCTTCTTTTAATTGATAGCTAGGAAACATTGATTTTGTCAATACTTCTTTCCCGCACGCTGCATCTTAATAAACGTTTCATATTAATCTAAAGGATACGTCCATATTTCATAAAAAATAATTATTTTCCGTTCAAAGGAACCAAAAACACGAAATAAAATATTAATGGATCGGACGAGTACAGTCGTCATTTTTCTGCGCTTAGTGTGTGAGACATTGAGTGGGCATTGTTTTAACTGACTGACTGACTGAGTTTGGTTTTACGCCGCATTGAGCAATATTCCAGCAACATCGCGGCGGGGGACACCAGAAATGGGCTTCACACATTGTACCCATGTGGGGAATCGAACTGGACTGACTGAGTTTGGTTTTACGCCGCTTTTAGCAATATTCCAGCAATATCGCGGCGGGGAACACCAGAAATGGGCTTAACACATTGTACCCATGTGGGGAATCGAACCCGGGTCTTCGGCGTGACGAGCCAACGCTTTAACCACTAGGCTACCCCACCGCCCCGCATTGTTTTAAGCCCTTATAGCAATATGGTAGCCATAGTTCCGTGCATATATACTAGTTTTCATTTTAGTTCATATTTTATCATTTTACATGCGATAAAATATGTGGTTAACGTTTTACTTTTCACAAATGTTTGACGAATGATGATGATTATGGTGCTGATGATGTTGATGATAGAACAGATGATAATAAATGTCCTGATCATCAAGACAAAACAGCCTACAGAAATATTAACGTAAATGTTAAACGCTCCACATCTATAGCCTCCTTTAAAAGGTTTATAATAATTTATAATAATAATAGTACTATAAGAAAAGAATAATTTCCATAGTGAGTGAGATTAGTTTTACGCCACTTTTAGTAATATTCCAGCAATATCACGGCGGTGGGACATCAGAAATGAGCTTCACACGTTGTATCCTCGTGGGGAATATTCGGGTCTTCGGCGTGACCAGGCTTACCCACCGCCCCAATAAATAGAAGAAACGTCTGCTAAAATGCAAACGATTCGGACAGTATCATGGGCACGGGTCTCTGAATCATTATCAAATATGGGCGTTAGCAAACATTATGTCGGGTAAACGGCTTTGCTGTCCCGCGTCACAAACACACGCCAAGACAAGTCATGTGTGAGGTGAGGTGAAATTGGGTTTAACGTCATGCTTGAGAATATTTCGCTCATATGACGACGTGCATGCGTGTGTATGTGTATGTGCGGCTGCTTGTACTAGCCCAGACTGAAGCTGGTTTTATAGTGCTAGCTCACTGAGATACCATGCCGCAGTGAAGCATGAATACCCCACTCAGACACATTATACTGACTTCGAGCCGACCAGTCCTTGATGTACCCATTAATGACGAGCGCCAGGAAGGGACCAACAAGTACCATATTTTAACGTCTTTTGGTATGACGCGGTCGGGGATCGAACCCGCGACCTTCCGCTCTCCGGGCGGACGCTCTAACCACTACACCACTAAGGAGTTACAAGTCATGTGTCAAACACGAAAGCATATGGTAACAATTAAGAGGGGTAACATATTTCAATACATGTTATTTCAAAGGTTAGCTTTGCAATGCTTTGAAATATGTATAACTCGAAACGAATATCATATTTCAGCAAACCGTTGTCATCATCATCATAATCATCATCCTCAACATGAAATATACTTAATGGTAAATTCTGGCAGTGGTCTTTCAATCATTTGCAAGAAACGGTTCTATTTATTCAATTAACAACATGATTCTGAAGCAGGAAAAGGTGCAACATGTTTCAGTAAGTCTTTGAATGGCATGTAGATATGGTAAAAGTAAAGAGGGGGGTTTGTGGGTGGTACCTTCTATTGCAAGAGGAACAAGACGTTTCAGAGTTTATTCTTACTCCTTCATCAGGTGAATTCAGAAGTTCACATCCATAAATTTCCCCCCTTTAACTTTCTTATTTGTTAGGTTTCAATAAACTTTTGTCATTCATTTCTGTCATGTTTCTACTGAGTGCGTGTTAATAATGTAAAACCATTTATTTCATTCCCTTAAATATTATTTATATATACCTAACCCTTGGGATACACATGATAGAGTATGAATATATTGCCGCGTCGATATCTCGAAAGTGTTGCGTGTATTCGTCTTCATTGTTGGGAAGGGTTGAGCTGTCGGGGACGTTTGAAACTGTGGCAAGGGAGACAAAATTCGTGTGCAGAGTTAACTCCCGTGTACTTGCCAGGATCCGCTGCCTTGGGTTCGAATCTGGGATACAAGCTGGTTCTTATAATTGATTCTGTTCACACCGTACTTGTACTCGTGGTTCAACGAGTGATGTTGAGACGTCGTCAAATATCGGAAATACTTTTCAAATAGAACTCCTAATCACTCACTCACTCTTTACCTCCATGTTGAGAAGAAAATATGGCCACAATTCGCTGTGCAGAATTAGGATATACCGTCCTATTTGATGTGCATGGTCAGTCGGCGCTGAACTCTTAAGAGTTTCATCATTGAAGAACCTTGACGCGAATCTTTGGGGTACTTCCACAAGTTA